AAATATGAATTTATCATTTTGTTCAATTCTTAGTTTACATTTAACAAAAAAAAAATATATTTTTTGTTATAAATATGAAAAATTCTATATTTTTATAATTTTATTTATACAATTATACGGACTAAACCGGAACGAACCGCGACCCGCGCGACCCGTGATCCGCATGGGCTCGACCCGGAAGGGTCAGCGGGTGGGCCTGGGTTGTAGTCCAAAATTGTGGGCCGACCCGTAATCGGCCCGGAACCCGCAGCGGGCGGGTTTTTTTCACTCGGGCCGTTACCGGGCTCACATGTTGGAGGGCCGAACCGGCCCGGACCACCCGGATTGACACCTCTAGCCTATGAACTGCCCGCATGGGTCACGGGTAGGCCTGCAGTCCCGATTTTCATGAGTCTGGTCGACCTATCCGTTTTGACACCTCTAACTAGGAAGGTAACTAACTTTTAAGTCATTTATTTTTAAAAAGTAACTTCTAATTGTAACCAAGGGAGAAATTTCATTCGTGGTAACTACACTTCCACTCTATTTTAATTAGATAAATGCACATCAATTATGTTCAATCAAATAACTACATTTTAATATGATTTCAATATCGTATCTCCATCTAATTCTTGGATTACAGAAAAAGATGACGTAGGAATCAACATATGATGCTCCCGATTATTTCAATGAAGTTGTACTTATTTTACATAATTAACTAATGATTACGTGCAATAATCATCGTTTATTGACTAACATGTTATCGATTATCGTTAATGGAATTTGACAAAGTTACCTTTGGTTGAAATCAAATTAATATGCACTTACCTTATTCAAATCAAATTAAAGTGTGGTTATCCAATTGAAAGCATATCAAAGTATAGTTTACCTAATTGAACAAAATTGAAGAATAATTACCTGATTGAATTATATTGAATGTATAATTACCACTAATGTAATTTATCCCGTAACCAAATATGGTGAGCTTTAATCAAGATTATGGCCAAGCTCAAACATAATCTTGACTTGCTTAAAAGTTTACTTTGTTTTAAGTTTAATTCGAGAATGAAAAAAGTCAAGTTCCAACCCATTTCCAAAGTTATCAATTTCTTGAAACTAATTATTGAATAATAAAAACTATTTGAAGTTGATTTTCATGTCAATTCTTAAGAAACTCTTTCAATCTATACGTTCAAATTGTTACAAACTAAATTTGAATATTCTTTTGAACATTGTATAATAAAGTTGAGATCGATCAAATTAAAAATCGAATAGCGAGTATGACATTAAGTATATTATTGCAACTTTTGCTCCCATCACCGATTCCATGAAAATCCTTTAACTTCTTTCATGCTCTAGTTGTGAAGGAAATGTTCTGCCTAATTATTCTTGTAGATAAAAATAAAATAAAATAAAATAAATCCATTTTTTGTGTTATGCCTAGCGTATTAGATTTTTGAAACATTGATATTACTATTATTCCAAGAAATATGAAGAATTTGCCATTTTTCCAAAAATACTTGAAGGAAGAAGGATGGTAAAATTTACATGTTTGATAAGAAAGTATTAGTAAAAAAAAATGAGAGGAGAGGGGGGGAGTCATGGTGATTTTATTAGGCCCCTGTTTGGTGGTGATTAAAATAAGATTTTTAGTAAATTTTGATAAAAATTGATGAAATATATGGTTGAAAAATTGTGGGTTCCATAAAATATAGGGTTAAAATTAGTTGTAAACTTTGACTTAAAATTAAAATCTGGATTTTAATTTGTACCAAATAGGAGCTAAATATGTTGATGATAAAAAATAAAGTGACACTTCTAGATCAACTCAGAAAAATTCTAACAGAATTACTACGTTATGTTTTGTTGAAATTTGAATATAATAGGAACATAATTTGTTGGAATTTTAGATAAAGAGAATTTCAATGGCTCGATATTTTCTTGTTGGGTATTCATCTCTTCATATAGATTGGAGCTTACCGCCCAAGTCATATCTCTAAACATGAGTATGTGTGCCACCGTCCTTTTTGGAGAGATTTGATTAGCTAAAGAGTTCGATTGGGATCGAATCATCATATGATGTCTAGACTTGGCCCAACACTTTTGGTCATTAGACTTTTCTTTGATTGGTCGTTGCGAGTGGTGTTACCGTTCTGAGGGAATACCTTTTCAATCATGTCATGATTATGTTTCCACATCATGTCTTCCAGGAGTTGACATGTATGAGTGGAGCCCTTGGGACATTTTAATGCTATCTTGATTGGTTTCAACGAAAAAAGATGACCAGGTCAAGGTGGACCCCTGATCCAACGTGAATATTCATATCGACACCAACAATTGTTCTACAAGGCCTGAATTCTATCTTTGGAGACATCAAACCTTTTTTTCTGGGTACAATATAAAGAATGCTCTCTATTCGATTTTTAATTTGCAATAATTTCCTTAATGTCCATAGAAGACAACGCGTCATTTTACGTTAAACTTTACTATACATTGGGAATAAAAAAAAGAATGCTGAACTTTATATCCATGGACTCCTATTTCTTTCTTGGTTGGACCAACTGAAATTTCTCATAAATCTTTCTTTACATTTAGAGCCAGAAGCAATACGAGCAAAAATCATCTCAATTTTATGACAAATTCTATATTATGGCTATTCTCCACTAACCATAAAGAAATAGGGACAATATTTCATGTTCAGTTTCCATTGCTGGACCTGGCGATCAAACTCTTGGTGAAGTTACATTAATCAACATGAATCTCAATTTTGGTTCAGATGCAAGTCTGTCTTGAATCAAATCTCCTTTTCGTACAATATAGATAAACTTGAATCCAAACAACAATTGAGATCAAGTTAAACTGAAATCTAATTTCCTTCTTGTACAATGTAATAACAAGAACTATGATCCCGAGGGCAACCATATTTAGCAGAATAATGCTACTGCTATCTTTACATCATTGATCAAAGTTCAAAACCATGCAAAGTTGCATGTATTTTCACACATGTACAAACAAGGCTCTGCTATATTCGATTCTCCTACATTAGCCGTAGCTGCTATTCTACTACTACTACTACTACTACTACTACTATCTTTCTCTAACAATAAAACATTACTCTTTTTACATTTTCTTTGAGGGCCGGCAATGGGCGTACGGACTCTCCCACTGCTCGTGCACCCTTGCAACCTTGACCGGTACTGCAGCCATTTTCCTGAACATCTGGTTCCATGTAGAATCTTGCCCGAAATGCAGCCAGATGTGCATAATAAGCGGGAGGAACTGTGTAAAACCAACAAATCATGAGTCATTTGAATTCAAACTTGAAACAAAGAACTGAAATTCTCCCAAGGAGATGAGTATAGAACCTATGTCATATGCATTGCCAACCGGACTTAGTATATAATTATGTATGTTCATAGACGGTCGGGTCTTAATCAGAAAAAAAATTGCCAGGTTGGGTTGGCTCTCTCTCGACCTCAGTGTAAGAATAGGATCTATAAGCGATGAAATGCCAGTTAAGGAACAAGTGAATGAGTTGATGATTTGGTATTTAAGTAACCTATTGATGAGTTTCTTAGATGATGGAAATAAATATTGAATTCACTTCAAGAAAAAATGATTTTCTTGAAAGGGCACACTTTCAAGTTTAAAATTATTATGGTCTCTACCACTGGCTCTCACCGGGCAGGCAGCAGTACAGATAAGTACTTTAAAAGAGATGGTGCCAGGAAAATGTCTTCACTCACCCACGGAGACAGAACGCGTGCATCTTGCATATGTATAGCAGAGATTATTTGTCAACAACTGAATTCCATCAGCAGTAAAATTATTTTCATCCCAAAGGACATGGTAATGTGCTGGCCGACTAGTTCCCTGAATGTCAAAGAAGAGTTACAAAGTCATGAATTTCCAAAACCCTAGATGCATTGGTGAGCAAAAATATTGACTAGAACTAGTGAGACGAGATTGGCATAAATGGTGACACCAGTGATCTGTGTTTTAAAAATGTAAATGCACCGGTTGGTTAGAGACTTGTGAAAATGAAATTGACCTTGTGAATGAGTTCAATTGAAGTTTTATATGATAATGAATTGAACAAGCTAATTGGGTGACAAAAGTTACGTTTTGACAAGTACTAGAATATGACTTTCGAGCAGTACATGGATCGAGATCAGAACATAGAATACCGAATTAGATTTTCTTTTATGCTTGAAAAGTTGTCTTACATTTACATTGTCAGATACAAAGCAACAGCCCTTTCTATTGCTATTCTGTATTACACATAATAAAAGTACTGGCGTTTTACCTGAATACCAGCATGGCTACAGAGATAAAAGTCAAACTCCGTTGGATGACAGATTTTAGAATCAACCACCGTGCCTGCAAAAAAGGGAAAATGATATTATTAGACTCAGTTACGAAAAACATTAGATAAGTGCACATTTCTTGGCAAGTTTATGAAGAAAGTTCTATTTTGTACAATGGTATTAGTTACCAGGTAATATGTTTCCACTCTTGTCAGTGCTGCTTTTGTCCCGATGGTTGTTTGCAAACAGCCTGGTGTGATGTCGTTTTTGTACCACTACAAACGTCACAGGGGGTTGGTAGTTTGGTTCCAAAGAGGCACAAGCCTGCATAAAATTTGTCATTGATCATGACAAGCTACGCAACAGAGCAAAGTGATCTGGGCCTATTTTAGGCAGTAACAAAGCTTAAAGAGATAAATCCAGTACCAGAAACATTGTAACTAACCTTCCGAATTGCATCCAACTCGAATAATAAGACTTGATAGAACTGCCCTTCACTCACGCCATCCCTGCTTATTTTACTCCTCAAAATCAGATACATTTAAAAATAAAAATACATTTATGTGTGTTGAGTTTAAACTGAATTAGGTTGAATACAAAAACCATGAACTTAAAGAGTGATTTATGTGGATTTGCATCATTCAAGATTGATATATAACAAAATATTGCTTAAATAAAATCGTACCAAAGCCATCAATAGACAATTCCAAAGATACAAAATAATTGATATGCATGTTTGAAAACAATCCCTCTACTCCTTGAAAGCATACAGACAGTGGAAGAAAGAGAAGCATGGCAATCTTAAACAACTTTTACCTCTTTGAGAAGAATAATTTCATTACAGAACAATCGAACATAAAATGGAATTGCATTTTGATAAACAGAAAATATTAAGAAAATAAGCTGGATGTAGTAAGATCCTATCAAATCAAAGATCAATTTCAGGTTCTGCCTTAAGGTGATGAACGCAGTGATATTGTTAGCATTTCCAAGAATCTAAGTGATGAGATTAATGGATAATTAAGATCTGCATTCAGCATTAATTGTGTGCTATGACAATAAAGTGAACAAGGTGTAAAATGCAGCAATATTGCTTTCAAAATGCACGGCCAATAAAAGAGTCATATGGACCTGTAAAATATTATCCTCTGTGGTTTCTGCCCAGTGGCCTTTCTGAAGGAGACCAAAAGATCCCTGCACAAGAGGAAAAATACATAAAACATGAATAGGTATATTTCGCTACACCAGCCCCGAAGATAAATTAATAGTAAATAAAGCATGCAAAATGCTAGGGATAGGAAAAAGAAAAACCACCATACCTGATCATGCCGCCACTAACTGTTCCACAAACAGGATCATGCCAGGTTTTATATAAATCTTGTATCAGTTCTTGTCTATGAGCTTGAGCGCAAACCAGTCCTGCATACTTTGTGACCTCAGGCCAATCTTGAGAAGCTACGACCTACGTTTAAAAGACACATATTTAAGCAATCTGGCATTTTATCACTGAGAATGGTTTGAGTTGAAGAGATTTACAGCAGCTATTGATGGACTCGTCTCCTCCCCATTCTCAGGGTGTGTCACATCTGCTCCAAATATGATCGTTGGTATGTCACTAACCAATGGTATTCTACAGCTTATAGCATCTAAGAGAACTGTGTTTCTGCCACCCATCTGTTTGACATCATATAAAATGAGCTCAAGAAAAGGAATTATGCTCTGTATGAATTTAAATGAGAAAGATAACATATGCATGAACCGCTGGAAAATTTATGGAGCTCCCATTTGATGTAATCCATAAGTTTTGGATAGTCAAATATGTACAAATCACGTGTGTGTGTACAATTGGTCAGAGGCAAGAAAATGGAGAAATGGTACAAGCAGCTGTGAGGTTTTTCCTGGGTGTTGGTTTGCACCAAAAATGGAGACGCTTCATTTTGTGAAGGAGAGGGAAAAAGGGAAATGTGTCCATCAACGTCTTGGAACTATTTTCTCGTGTTGCAGTTATTTCTACAAGCATCTGTAATCTTATTCTTTACCAAGAATGGAAGGTATGCTTCGAATACTATTGGGTTTTTATAAGTAGAGTTGGCACTGTTTTTCTTGTTAATGATGTAATAAACCTAGCAAAATGAAGTGTGACATCAGAACAATCAATCACACCTTAACATTTATTTTCAAGGACACATTAGCCAAATATTGCTTGTTGATCTTGAAGACATGTTTCGTAAGGCAGCATTGGGAAATCAAACCCAGATCAGTTTCACATATTCGCTTCAGATCACCTATCATCAAAGAGTAAAAAGCAACCCTGTTATCAATTCATCAAAACTTTTAACATTTTGAACCAACAAATCAATTTTCTTTTTCATGGCATTACCATATAGGGACCCATTGTTGTCAGGCAAAATGGCTAATAGAAGCTCTAGTTCTTTTCCTTTTAATTTATTCATACAAGCATGATAAACATGCTTCAAAGCTTTCTCTACTTGATCAGGCCTTGCCGTGTAGATTGGAATGACCGGTTCAGGATTAAATTCCTGTACAAAGACAGCATAATCATTTTATATTTCTTTTTGAAATAAAGTTTAGTGCCATGTGCATAACACACACACTTGCCTATAAGAAAAGTATAAAATGAAAAGAAAGAAATTCTACCATTCCAGATACTTGACACATTTGTGCCAAATCGTTGCAAAAACCACGAGCAACACTCTCTTGGACGCCACGTGAAAAGTTAATACATGCCCATCGGCTGACAGTCATCCCATTGATCATTTTCTGGATTCATCATATCACAAGTTGTGAGATGCAAAAAGCTTTATTTTGAAAGAGTTGCTAGCAATTTCTTAATAAAAAAATTAAGAAGAAAACTAAATTTTGACATATTTCATCCAAAATATTGAAAAAAACCTTGTTCATCATATTCCATTGACCAACTTGGGGCAAGCAATTCTTTTCTTTACCAGTGTCGTGATATTTCAGCTGCATGTAAGAGTGTAATACAAGTGAAAGAGTGTACATTAACCACAGTTCAAGAAACAAATTAAAGTTTCAAATAGCAGGCATTTATTTTACCCAGGGAGCAGGAAGTACTCTAGCCTCCACAGAAGCAAGTTTTTCGCTGATTTTTATCCCAAACTCCTTCGCATATTCATCTTGTTCATATGCATTATTTTGGACAGTCTGCATTCATAGGAAATAGAACATAAGAGATCATTCTTCCTATCTTGGTCAACTCCAAGAAAAATTTGACAAACTTCATGTACCATAAGATGACCTTCATGTTATACATCATACTAATTTTCAAATAACTTAAAACTAAATATATGGATCTATTATATTATTTACCAAAGAAAATGCTTTGCCATTTGGTTTTCTGAATTAATTGGCTCAAAAGATTTTACTTTTATCTCAATTCTCCTTTTTTGCCCAAGGAGCATGAAAACAATATATTATTATTCTTCATGTTGTTGTGATAGGTTGTAGACAGCTAAACAAAATATTTGAAATTTATTGGGCAATAAGAAAGGAAAGGTGAAAATTTATATTAGTATCACGGGGTACCTGCAGAATGTCATTTTCTCGATCGCGTGGTCTCTGGCATGTCACCTTCAGAAGAGCAGTAATTTGTTTCTCGCTCAACCTTTTTGTATATCGTTGCCCCTCAACAATTTTACAGGCCTAAGGAATGAATACCATTAGACCACAAACAGAAGTTTGAAAGAAAGAAAGATAAATCTCAGCCAGAACCTAAAGTTGCTAAGTACTTCTCACCTCCATTGGCAAATAGTTGGCCTTCTTCTGGTTTCCTACTTGAAGGCAAGGCAGATGAGTATACTGAATTGTAAAACCATACATTTCTTGAAAATATTCAACAACTGACTTCATGGTTGAGTTGTCATCAACAGGAAATCTGAAGCAACATAAGATAACTAGGTTAACACAAAATAAGTATATAGATCTTTACATTAAGCATTAATGTACACAATGCTTACACTAGTTCTCTGGTGGGCTGAGTTGTAATGCCAGAAACTCGATATTTCCTTCGTACATTACCACGGTGAGTCACCTCGACTTTCACTCCTCTAAGGGCCTTCTTAACCTGAAATGCAATCAAGGAGCAATTTCACACACAAAAACAAACAGAACAGAAATCTATTCTAGTTCATTTTATGCCAGATGATGATGACATGTACCTTAACACGGTCAGAATCGGATAAGGGCCTTGAAAGAACATCTTTTTCTAGAAGTTGGGCTACAAATTCTATAACTGGAAGAGCTTCAATAAAGGCAGCTGAAGCCATATCTGTAATGCAGAAAAAAAAAAGAATAGTATTAGGGAATAGATGACGGTATTAGTGTCTGACAACACATTTTCAGCTGGAGTTCGGATTCGATATTCAGTTACCAATATTAAGCGACAGGCCCATCTGGGTGGGTCTTATACTCTGGTAGAATCCATACCATGCCTCTAAGCCATCTCCAAGTCTTTGTGGTCTTCGTATTTCCGGAGAAAAGAAGGATCTCCCAACAGGGCAGTACCTTTTCAAAATGTGCATATTATTCAGCAATTTCCACATTTTATTATTGAATCGCAGGCAAGAGAACTGCATGAAGAACTTCATACCTTTTCATTGAGAGCTCTCTCAACACAATGTCAAGAATTTGAAGTGCTTCCGTTGGACCATCCGCGCGCTGGCCAGCAAGAAATTGGCCTAAATGGTGCAAGTTTGCCTGTGCAACAAACCTGATCACAACTTTATATTCCCTCTGTCTCCTGAAATTTTCAAAAAGTACACTTGAGCAGTTTCATAAAGTTAACAATTAGTTGCACATTCAGAAAATATAAACAACCTGAAGCAAATCAAGCTTCAGCGGCATTACTAACAACACGAAATTAGTTTCCAGTAGGCACTTAGAATGAATTTGTGAACAATAAAGGTATCTTTAACAAGAAAACAAGCAGTATTGTGAAAACCGTGAGTTCTTACTTGGGACCGTTTATTCCATCCTCTTCATCAATAAGCTTGACCGTGAACTCTTTCCAAGCAAAAGGAAGCTCGCCAGCTGTGTACAGACTCTTTCTACCATCATATGCAGGCAATCTCATTCCTAAATCAGATTCCTTATACAATTTCACAAGTTCTGCAATAATAGCCCTGTTGACCATTCTCGATGCCACTTCAGGGGTTATACTTACCTGTAAAGAACAGGATACAACAGAATAAAAAATAGTAGGCATTAGAATTGCAGAAAAAACAACAAGAACAATATTGATTAACTTTTATTACTAATAAATGCTATACAAGCAAAGGGAAAGTATATCAGAAGCCAGTTATGAGAAGAAAACAACAAGATAATTACAATGAATGTCAGTTTAAGGGCCCCGATTGTTTATATGTCACATACCATTTCACTTTAATATATATACCTGAAATATGTCTAATTTAAATGCATCTTATAAGAAAAACAGCTTACATCGTACTGGTTCAAATCCTTGTCTGGTAACTCAGCAAAGAAATGGTTGGCCTTCACAATGCATTTTGTCCCAATTTGCCCATACCCAGGCCTGCGTGCAAAACTCAAAGACTTGCTTGATGAAGGAAACCCCGTGTCCACTTCACACAAGTTGCTTTCTGTCCCAATCGACCCATTATTTACGGCTGGTATAATGGCTCTGCCTTGTTCAGCAGTAACTGGCTTATTCACTACAGTGCACGGCCTTGAACTAGGTCGCATAAAGGCCTCACCTTGATCAGATTTTCGCCCGCCTCTTCCCCTTCTTCCTCTAATTTTTGATGGAGGTGAGGACTGATTTTGAGGTTTGAGGTTATGGGGTTCCTGGGTAGGTCCACCTTTGCCATTTTGAGCAGTTTTGTGGTTCTTTTGAACTAAATTAATGGTGTTTTGCAAGTGGGGTTTCACAACAAAGTGCTGTTCTAAGTTTTCATTCATCTTCCTCAAAGGCATGATTATATTTATAGGATCAACACAAAATTTTCTTATTTAAACCGAAATTTCTTGACGAGATAAAACAGTTTCTCCTTCTAATTCTTGCTTATAACCCTCCAAATATACAAGGCCATCTGTACTGAAAATCCATAAACAGAGAAAAGAACAAATGTCAGCAAGATTGCCCAAAATTGCAAAATACATATAAAAGTGGAAATTTAAATTTCACACGCAAAATTAAAAAGGCACACATTAAAAAATACATCATGAACGCAGAATACAGGCATTTCAAACTAGATAATAAATTCTCAGACAAAAAAAAAAAATGAAAAAAATTTCACTGCAGACCATAAGTGAAGAGAATTCAAAAAAAAAAAAAAAAAAAAATTCACAGACAAAATGCTAGAAAATGATTAAATAGAACAGTTTCTAACGAGATCAAATTACAAAATCCCATTATTTAAAGTACACACACGTGCACATATAGTGAGATTATATTACATAATATACACAAATATTATTTAGACATTAGAATACCTAATCAAATAGTGGAAATACCTAGAAGACATTAGAATCCTGCATCTTGTCCTCTTACCAAAACCAAGACTTTTAGCAGAAAAACTGAAAACTATGGAAAAATCCAAGATAGTAAAGACACAAAAAACATATATATATACGCGTATGTGTGTGTCTGTGTCTGTGATTTTATTTTTTTGTTGGCTATCTAAGTGCATTTAACACAAGAAGAAAGAGAATAAAGACATTAGGAAGAAAACAAAAAAAAAAAAAAAAAGAGGCAACAAGAAACACAAAAAAAGAAAAAAAAAAAAATAAAAGAAAAAAAAAAAAAAAAAAAAAGAGGCAACAAGTAACGCACCTAAATGCAGAATAAGAATTAAAAGGAATAAACATTAAAAGACTCACTTGGAACCCAAATTACTTCAGTACTCCTTGATAGAAAACGACAGTTCATGAATCAAATCCAAATAACTGATTATGCGATGAAGTAGCAGAGAGTTGGCTCAAAGATTTGAAGTTTTATACTTAAACCCACAAACGAACAATGAACTGAAACCTTTTGAAGAGACGGAAATGAACTTAAAAACAATTGAGGCAATCTTGAAAATAGAGATTAAACTTTAAAGAGTGTATAAAAAAGCTTGGAAGTGGCAAAAGAACGTGAAAAAGAGCTGTAAAGTGAGGATAAAAAGATGGGTTTTATGGGGGGTTTCAGTTCGCATATATATAATGAGAGAGAAAAGATTCAAAGTAATGGTGCCAAGGGTTGGGTGAGGAAATAAAGAAGATGATGATGAATCTTTTATATATACACGCATGCAATTGCTTTTAATGTCCCTCAAGTTTTGCTTTTTTCAAATTATATATACATATACTGACTTTAGTGCTCATCTTTGCAGCCTCGGGTCTGTACATGCCACCCACTGAAAAGCTTAGAAAAATTATATATGTGAGTATATTCGTGTATATATATAAGGGGACAGTAGGTGGGGGGCTAGGGTAGATGGTGTACTCAGTATATAAAACTTAAGCAATGAAAACACAGAAGAAGAATAATTCGAACTTGCAGTCCTCACTACTGCAGAGAGAGATTTTAATACATGTCCCTTCCTTTCTCTCTCTAGATTTTTATTTTAATTTTTTCTCACTTTCTACTGTAACAATTCACTTTCCTTTTTTTGGTTTGTAGGCCATTTCTTTATGCTGAATATTTGGTCGAGAAATTTGAGACTTTTTTTTTTTTTAATTCATGCAAAACCTTTAATAGCACGGCTACCCATGCTTCTAATTTTAAGTGTATCACTATCTGGTACGAAAAAGCGAGAATAGATCATTGAAACAAGGGGAAAAAAAAATAGATTTACTTGAAAATTCTAGACAAAAAAACAACGAATAGAGAATGAGAAAATTTTCCATATCAAATATAAATACAAGAGATAGGCATTTTGGACAGCTATTCCAAAAATCATGACGAACCCCTGCACCCCATCGGGATCAGTGGTGGGCTACTGGATCGGTCCGCTACCACCACAGATCCCATAAAATTCTCATAATTGTTGTTTTACCACATATTTAGCACCATGAGCTTTTCGAGCCGAACCAAACAAAACTTGAATGGTCGTACTATGGCATTGTCCAACAAAGAGCACTCACCTTTATGCACAATCAAGCAAACTATAAGCTTAAAAAGTTTAGACAAGTAAATATATAATACTTAAATAATTATTTTTGCTCAGTAGATTACGTAATTAATTTAAATTTATTCCTTCAATTTCTAGGCCAACTCTTCACTAAAGCACAGGAGCTTTGGTAAGATGTAAAGGTCGCTTAAAGGTTGAAAATGGGACCCGCAAGATGTTTGTCTTATTGTTTTATAGAATAATTAGGGTTTGTTTGTACTAATTAGGAACTGCAATTAATAAGCTTGTCCTGCCTGCCTCAACAAAACCAGGGTACTCAACTAAAAAGCTGACCTACTTGTTGGGATAATCTGTTGTCAAGATTATCAGTATAATGTCATACAACACAATCGGTACGTTATTTTTATGTGATTGGCAGATGATTAATCCAATGAAATAGATTTCATAACATTAAATTTAATTAAACTTATCATTTAATGTCATATGGAACGGTGGTGTAACACCAATGATGTTATATAGCATTACTAACATAAATTTCAATAAAAATTAATCTGCTCTACCAGGCCTGTAAAAGGCCTGGTAGAGCAAAAGCTCTTCCATGAGGTCATTAAAAAAACCCCCCAAAATGTTTAAACACCCACCCCCACCTCCACCTCACATTTGCACTGCCAAGCCTTTTACAGGCCTGGCAATGTAGCACGGTTCTTTCAATAAAATTGTTACATCTTTATTAACACGATATCATTACATGTCAAGTTGAGTTGGAAGTATAAAATGAGTTGTGTTAGATTGATACGATTCGATTTTGAGGCAGTCAGACACTCTTGATTACTTTTTAGTACATTTTCTTATATATAAATTTACGTAGAGTGTCTCGTATGTGCTCCTATATCTAGTCCTAGCTTTAGGGGGAGGCCAATTTATAACAATAGGCTACGTCAAGCCGTGTTTGGATTGGATCGTCGTAACACCTTAAATTAACAGCATAGTAAAAAAAAAAAAAAAAAGTCATATCTTTATCATCGAGTAATGTAAAATAATAATAGAAAATACGATTAAGAATCAATTATGAAAATCACATTTCTCGAGCTCAAAGATCATTAATATTAATTATCAAATGGAACAATGCTTGGTGTATAATAATGTTGACATCATTGTTGACAACATGTCACGTGACATGTTGACATTAAACAATTTTTAAAACAATTCATCATTTCAATCAATATTTTTTTACCACAACCAACATATCAACAATGTTGTACAAAAATTACTACTTGTACAATGAATTTGCACAATAATTTTTACAATGTGTGATGTGTATAGATCATTGCTATTGAATTCAAAAATAATTTTTCAAATCAATGGACATAATGCCTGCCAACTCACACATTGTCAAGCTTATTGTCAATTTCATTGTACAAGTAGCATAGTTCTAGCTTGATGACATTCCAATACAAGCTCAATCAAGAATCCTTCTCTTTGTGTTTTAAATTTTGTTCTTAATATTGTTTAACGCTATACAATCTACTTTACAAAACAAATTAGAACTAATTGGTACTAAAATAGAATTGAACCAAATAATAAGTAAAAAGTTATCAAACAAAGTACAAGCATAAGGGGTATGTAAGATTTCAATTAAAGTTGAAAGTAAGAACATATTGGTTTGGTAGAGTGCAAAGTATGTGAATGGTCCCTTTAGTTTTTGGTGTTTAAAGTTTAGGTGGTAAAATTAGGGACAGAATCAAAGTAGAGATTCTACATGATAACTTATTGGACTTGGAACTGTGCATAATTATTGGGTATGCACTCATTCCATTTTTGGTTCTTTGTGAATGTTCATAGCATTGTGTTGTCATCATTATTTCTTGACTCTATTGAGATATTATTTACAAACTTTGTGCTTTTCTTATGCTAACCTTTGTCTTCTATTGCAGTTATTAAAGAAAGAAAATAATAAAGTTTACTCTTTGCATCATTGTGTCATGTTAAGTTTAATCATGAGTACCATTATGTACTTACAGTATATTTGGCAATTCTTAACGAAGTCTCCATTGATTAATGGATCTATAGAGTAACAAGATCCATAATATCATCATTCAGGCTAATATTCGAGGATGACTATTCAACGTACTAACATTAGGTATTTCGTGAAATATATGTATGACAACCTCGTTTAGATTATTATACTGGCTAAAGAACTAAATTGTTGGTAACATCAATTCTTCATAGTTTTGACTGATTTTCTTATCAAATCAAATATAAATTATCTCTACTATCATATCACATGCATTATTTGTGATTATTTCCATAATAATCCAATTATATAAACCTAAGTAATTAACTATTTTTCAGCAATGTGTTAAGCAAGACATGCTCTCAATACTTGTTTGGCTGCGCTTAAATTTCTTGCGTAAAAGCATTTATTTTGATCTCGGTCAAAATTAGAAAGACGCAAGTTTTTTATTTTTTTTATTTTGAGGTACCTCGTAGTTAACATAAAATTAACTTGTAAAAGAAAGTAACATATCTGAATATGTTTGAAAATAAATTTTATCCAAATGTACATTTAACCATCTATTGCAGTTAATGCTTTAAAATTAATGGTTTTCAGATTTTAGCCTGTAAAATGTTAACCTTTCTCAAGTAGAATACAGATAAAGGTCGAATGATTTTCTCAAAAGAAGATACACAACCAGCCACCGAAAAAAGAAAAAAATAATAATAACAACGTATGGGCTATTTTTGTTTTCATGCATGGAGAGTTTTGGAATTGAAAATTTTCTTACCAAAATGGAGAGAGATGGGCTTTGTTTGTTTTCTTGTGAGTTTAGGATTTGTTTTATC